GAAAAATCTAGCATCATCATCTTTGAATCTATTTCCTGCAAATAAATGAAGAGTTTAATGAGTCAATCAAGTAACTTTTTTAAATGAAACTATGATTGGTGTTTGGGGGGGGACTCCTTTTTAAAAATGTTTCACATCAGCCTCCAAAATGAACTTGAAGTACATCTAAATAAGTTTACTAACACATTACCTGAAAGCTTTATAGATTTCAGAGAAATGCTGTCCAGCAGCATTTTAGCTACATCTTCAGCTCCTTCCGATCTTATGTGATTGTTTGATAAATCCTGTAAAAAACCCATTGCTGTTTTTAGAAATTCTTCTTTTATGTCACTTATGCCCTCTAGTGGTCAGTTTTCAGTCTATACATACCAGGTACTGGATGGTAAAATTGGCCCTCAGCAGCTCCACCAGACATTTGACCCCTTCAGCTTGAATGTTATTGTAAGCAAGCTCAAGAGTCCTTATGTGCACATCAGACTAGAATAGATGCAGCTCATCAGATATAAGTTTCCAAATAATTTTATTGTGGAAATTGCATTTTGAACTCACCACCAAAGCAATACAAAGTGCTTTGCAACCTGAAGGTCCGAGCCCATGGTAGGTGAGTGTCACGGTTGGGGACCCAAGGTTTCGAATGAAGCAGGAAACTGGAACCACACCCACCAGTTTGCAGGCCTCCATGTACACCTCAGCTACTGACATCTCTTCAGTGGTTTTCTTTTTTTCTGCGTTTAAATAAGATTATTAAATAAGTTCTAGAGAGATCCCTGTACAGCAATGTGGTTTTCACATAAAGCTGACAACATCATGTCAAAAGAAATGCCATAAAAATTTGCATTTATTTCAATAACTCATTATAAAATTATGTTTAATTTTTAAAGATTTTAGACTGTTACTTTTAAATGCCATCTATTTCATTAGACTATCATTAGAAATTAAAAATAAAGACATTTTTTATACAATCTTTGAAGTGTGTACATATGACATTTATGTTTAGTTTGGGGCTTCTACAGCATGAATCAGTGATTTAGCATGGAATGGAAAAAATCAGCCCATAGCTGTGCTTAGGCATCAATAAAGCTCAGTTTGCTTTAACAGCTCATCTATGTTGTAGGGTCTTGTGTTGGTTTAAAAGATATCCCAACCAAGAAATGTGACGGTTGTAGCTAATTTTGGAGACACTAACTTCCGCTGCAGCCCAGATACGACAAATCTCCACAAACTGAATATCTAAAAAAATGCCACATCATCATTTTATGCCACATTTTTCCCTTTTACTTAACTTTCCATTAAAATGCATGGATAAAGCACTCTGTTAACAAATATACGTGTCAGCAATCTTTCAAATGATCCAATGATAAGCCAGTGTACTGAAATATAATTTCACTATGAAATCTACTTTTATTGGTCTTATTTAACATTTTAATATTTTGATTAACAAAGTTTAAACTTTTTACTAATAAAGCCATCAGAACAATGACCTATTTGAAATAAATGATCTTAATTGTAATATTGCTGCAGAGTCTCCCTTTCGCAGCGAGTTACAATAATAAATTCAATTTTTAATGACATTCTAAAGTTTTGGATTGCCCTAAATGCCAGACCCTTTATGGACACAATTTTCTGTCTTTTTTATAGCAGTGAAAGCTTTTTCAAAAATTAAATGTTAGGAAACTCACCTTCAAATTCTAAGTCTTGGTCAGACTCAGTGTCTGAGACCATGGGTGAAGGAGAGGCTTCATCTTTCAAGCTCAGTCCCTTGAAGGAGAGTATGGACATTACTCAAGCTGATGTGTTATTTTGTAAAAGTATTTAATGTGCCTTGGAAGAGTTTGCACTGTGTGAAAACATTGGCCTGTTTAATCAAGAATGTAACTCTACCCCTGAGATTATATGTCAGCCAGAGGGTTATTAAGAATTCATGCATCAGTGTCCTTACCATCGTGTTCCTACAATACAAACTGTAGACATTTTCATTGTAAAACACAGCAGTCCAATGTACTCTAATGTACTATGTGGTTAAAAGTAAATGTTTAAGAACAGTAAACTTTCGTGACAAATTTAACACACATTTACAGTATCCATCCGCTTTGCTCAAACTAATCGATTGTAGTTGACAAAAAAAGAAAAGAAAAAAAGAGAGAAATCAACCTAGATAATGTTAGTCAGAGAATTGGTGACTTATTAACAATCCTGGATTAAGGGAAGGCACTTTGTTTTGGCCCACTGAAAATAAACTTATCATTTATTCCATATGTTTTGAGTTATTTTCTGTTAATATGCAATGGCCATGTAGTCCATCCATGTTTAGTGTTGTTGACTTTGTTTTATAAAATTCATGTGGTGGCTCATCACATAAGAAATAGACTATCTTTGTCTAGTATTGATACAAATGCATTGTTTTTATGCAAGCTATATAAAAAGCTACAAATGGTTCTGGACAAAACTGGCTGGGTGTTGGACGCCTCCATCCGTCACGTGACTAAGAAACTGTAACGGGATTGGCTGAGTGTTGGACACCACAATCCATTGGTAATGTCTGTGAACTTAAGTAACCCTTCCCTTTTTACATTGAATTTAGACGCTGAATTTAACACAGTGAAATTGAGCCAGTTGAATCTCAGTTGCTGAAAATATTGAGTTTGAATTTTGAAAGGCTGATTTTTTTATATGCTGATTTTTTTAACACTTAAAAGTCAAACTGAAAAAAAAACAGGTATTGAAAATATATTAACTGTGAAATAGTAATGTGAATTTTTACCTTGAAGTGAAAATAACAGATAAAATGTCAACTATATAAATATAGTGACATTTATTTTTTTTTTAGGTTGAAAATGTTTTCTGAATATATTTTAACACAGAAAGAGTAAGTATACACATACAACATTTCTATTTCAGTGACATTTTTAATTTAAATCCCAGTGGCACAGATTTAATTCCATACGAGTCTTGTAAAAACACCAACTTAAAACAATGCAATATAGAGGCAGACAGGCAGTTCTTCAAGAATGAACCCATGAAAGCTCAGCGGTCTGTACAGGTGCTGGTCATAAAATTAGAATATCATGAAAAAGTAGATTGATTTCAGTAATTCCATTTAAAAAGTGAAACTTGTATATTATATTCATACATTACATACAAACTCATATATTTCAGATGTTTATTTTGTTTAATTTTGATGATTACAAATGACAACAAATGAAAATCTCAAATTCATCATATCAGAAAATTAGAATATTGTGAAAAGGTTCAAAATTGATGGCCCCTGGTGCCACACTCTAATCAGCTAATTAACTCAAACCACCTGCAAAAGCCTTTAAATGGTCTTTCAGTCTAGTTCTATAGGCTACACAATCATGGGGAAGACTGCTGACTTGACAGTTGTCCAAAAGACGACCATCGACACCTTGCACAAGGAGGGCAAGACACAAAAGGTCATCGCTAAAGAGGCTGGCTGTTCACAGAGCTCAGTGTCCAAGCACATTAATAGAGAGGCGAAGGGAAGGAAAAGATGTGGTCGAAAAAAGTGTACAAGCAAGAGAGATAACCGCACCCTGGAGAGGATTGTGAAACAAAACCCATTCAAAAATGTGGGGGAGATTCACAAAGAGTGGACTGCAGCTGGAGTGAGTGCTTCAAGAACCACCACACACAGACGTATGAAAGACATGGGTTTCTGCTGTCGCATTCCTTGTGTCAAGCCACTCTTGAACCACAGACAGCGTCAGAAGCGTCTTGCCTGGGCTAAAGAGAAACAGGACTGGACTGCTGGTGAGTGGTCCAAAGTCATGTTCTCTGATGAAAGTAAATTTTGCATTTCCTTTGGAAATCAAGGTCCCAGAGTCTGGAGGAAAAGAAGAGAGGCACTTCATCCACGTTGCTTGAAGTCCAGTGTAAAGTTTCCACAGTCAGTGATGGTTTGGGGTGCCATGTCATCTGCTGGTGTTGGTCCATTGTGTTTTCTGAGGTCCAGGGTCAACGCAGCCACATACCAGGAAGTTTTAGAGCACTTCATGCTTCCTGCAGCTGACCAACTTTTTGGAGATGCAGATTTCATTTTCCAACAGGACTTGGCACCTGCACACAGTGCCAAAGCTACCAGTACCTGGTTGAAGGACCATGGTATCCCTGTTCTTAATTGGCCAGCAAACTCTCCTGACCTTAACCCCATAGAAAATCTATGGGGTATTGTGAAGAAGAAGATGCAATACACCAGACCCAACAATTCAGAAGAGCTAAAAGCCACTATTAGAGCAACCTGGGCTATCATAACACCTGAGCAGTGCCACAGACTGATCGACTCCATGCCACGCCGCATTGCTGCAGTAATACAGGCCAAAGGAGGCCCAACTAAATACTGAGTGCTGTACATGCTCATACTTTTCATGTTCATACTTTTCAGTTGGCCAACATTTCTATAAATCCTTTGTTTTTATTGGTCTTCAGTAATATTCTAATTTTCTGATATGATGAATTTGAGATTTTCATTTGTTGTCATTTGTAATCATCAAAATTAAACAAAATAAACATCTGAAATATATGAGTTTGTATGTAATGTATGAATATAATATACAAGTTTCACTTTTTAAATGGAATTACTGAAATCAATCTACTTTTTCATGATATTCTAATTTTATGACCAGCACCTGTAAGCATTCACTGCCTGTCTAGGTGACATCTGGGCAATGAAATGGAATAATGTGAACAGATGAAAAACCCCATCATGCACTGCAACATATTTTTGCAAAAAATTCTAACATAAATTCACCAAATATAAGAGGAACAACATAGTTTGGTTAAAAAAACATGTTCCTTTTATTATAATTTAGTTTGTTGTAAGAATTTTACAGTTTGAAGAAATAGGAAGTTACACCATATGAAAACTGTCGCTAGGATGTGCATGAGAAGGAAGGGCTATATATACTGCATGAATAACGTAGGAAGGTTAATCATTTATTACTTCTTTGGCTTGAGTTATTTATTGTCAAAGGTAGGTGCTCTAGTCCAAGCCAGGCAGTGACGCCCAAGTTATGGAACTACCTGAATGGATTAAACTTCTTTTATTTTATTTTTTTCCTATTTTGTCGTCCGCATTTTCCGCCGAGGACATTAGAGGTGGGATCTATTGGCGGGTCGGGGGGCAATAATGAGGTTGGTTGTGAGTAAAGATTTAATCTAACTCGACTTCCTGTTTTTGTTTTCCTGTTTTCAGCTTGCTTCGTGGGACTCTGCATGTTCCACTTTTATTTCAGTTATTTATTGCTGTTTCACCTTACTAATTACAGATCTTTCCTGCTGTAGTGAGAAAGTCTTCCAAACAGAGAGAAGAAAATAAATAAAGCAGAAAAAACAGAGGCCTAAGACATTTTACTCTCAAACGTGAAAAAATAATTTTTATATCTTATATTAGTTTATTTTTTATCACGTATTCTCAATAACTATATAACCTTGACAGTTAAAATGTGCTATTTATTTACCTCTTTTACTAGATAAGAGCATGGGCGGTTGTAGACAGGGGCCAACGGGGGCCAGTGCCCGTGTAGATCATGTCCTGGCCCCTGAACTGAAGACATAATACTAAAAGAAAATCTGATGATGATCTGCGCTGGAACAGACATGGTTACTGATAGGTCCTTTGGATCTATTTCATTTTTTTTCTTAAAATATTCAGTTCTACTAATTATTTAAAAATAATAAGGTGATGATAAGGCTTCATGGGTATTGAGATAGAATCCCAGTGTTTTTCAAAGCACTGTCCTGTTTTTTAATTCACGCTTCTCTGTGCCCCCATCAGGGGCGGGGCTAGTTGGGGGGCCAGGGGTGGCCTTAGTCACCCTTAGCCAATCATTGGCCACCCTGTGGCCACCCCTACCATCTTTTCCCCATCTAATACAGACGGTGACAGCAGTAATACTCCCAAGTGGAATATTTAAAACATTTAACAAAACACACACAAAAAAACACTGTGGTTAATTCTGCACATCAATATACTAACATTAAAGATGATAAGTACAGAATTCATGCTTTTTTCAGAACTAGATTTTGTGTTATATGAGGTAAAGAAAAAATTATGTCTCAGCAAGTCATCTAAGAGTCTTCAGTAAAATTATTGATAAATAGCTATTTTAATAAAACGTATTAAATAATCAATTTATGTAGATATTAGTACTTGTAAATGTCAATTTTATGCAGAATGATTATTGATAAAAGTAGGTAATGACAATGGAAAAGATGTTCGCCCAAAAGTCAAACTTTAAAGAATTGTATCCACTATAACTTTTATCTAGAAAGCACAGATGTTTAAATATGTATGTGTCTATTTGTCAACAAATGTTTTAGAAAAGTATAGTTAGTCTTTATTTAGAAAATATGGATGTTGTGTCCATTAATTTTCCTGTTGATTGACCCTGAGGTTCTGGTGCCCCTCAGTTTACATTAGTTATTGCATGGCCACCCTCATAAAAAACTTCTGGCTATGCCTCTGGCCCCCATTAAAACTCGCTGGCCTCTCCCGGCCGGCGGCCACCTGGTACATTTAGTCTAGAACCGCCACTGGATGAGAGTGCTTTACTTTTACTGTTTACATATACATTTTCAATAACGTACTTTAACTGTAATATGCAATTACCTTCCACTGCACTTTAATTTAGATAGCTTCTGTCCAAACTATATTTATTCATTTTATAGTAAAATCCATCTGTATATATATATATATATATATGCTATTGTACATAACTGTAAAAACCTTTTTTGTTATAGTAATATCCACCTGTATATTATATTCGGTACATATCCAGCTGTAAATTTAGTTTATAACACTATTATTTTCATCTATTAGTAAGATTCTGTTTATAAAGGTATTCATCTCTATACTTATTCAGTAGAAACCCATGTTCTGTATTAATGGAACCATTATTTATCCTGCACTTGCTGCTATTGCACTTCTGCTTAGACCTAAACTGCATTTCGTTGCCTTGTACCTGTACATGTGTAATCACAATAAAGTTGAATCTAATCTACTTGCGAAACAGGGTTTTAAGAAATTTAAATGATAAAACAACTTGCCTTACATAGGCCAACGCCGATATCGTAATGCGCATGCGTGGATTTATTTTCGGAAAAAATCATGATTGGAAGCTTGCTGTTTTATGCCTTCTATCCACTTGTTAGGTTCCTGTTCCGTCCACCGTCAGGTAACTGTAACATGCAAAGAGGTTGTTTAGTTTAAAAGAATCTTACGACTTGTTTTTATATCATAAAGCCGCTGCTGTGGGCCTAATGCTGCAGACTTTATATGCAAAGTTTACTTGTTGATTTTTGGGGTATTTTTTGCCTTTAAGTCTCAGTGAAACATGTAAGGTTTGGTTTAAAAAGTAAACGCGCGTTTCTTCTCCTAAATCTCCAGCATTAACGTTTATACTGCTTTATTTCCCACCTGTTGGCACACCTTCAGGTGACGTCTGATGACAAACACGTTTTGCAGCTCATGCATCTTCCAAATAATAAATCCAACTTATTCAAATAATTTCTGTCCTATTTTGTTTCTTTTAGATCCCTCAAAGGAAAGAGTTTCAGTTAATGGCAAAGCAGCGTGTAATGGTGACACTGCCTCAGTCAGATCCCCCAAACCTGGAACAGCAATGCAGGATCAGAGTAGGGAGATAAAAGAAAAGTTAAAAGAACCAGATCCCAAGGAGGAGGAACCCATTTCAACTGTCCTGCAGGAGGATGAGAGACTGAGTGCTGAGGTGCTGTCTACTTCTGAGGAAGGAGAGGGTCCTAAAATGAATGAAGAGGTTGTCCTCCATGATATGGATGGGGATCAAAATAAAAGAGACCAGAGCTCTTCTTTAGTTGACCATCAAAATGTACAACAAGAAGTTGTAGCTCTGTTAAAATGCCTGAATATGGATGGAAGCACACAAAAAACTAACTGTTCTGAACAGAATAAAAGCCAAACTGAAATATTTGATGATTCTCTTGGGGAAACCCCTCAAGTTCCCAACACTGAAAGAAAGAATCCGAGTGAACCTGCATCTGCAGTGACTGAGTGCTGGGATGACTTTACATTTTCTGCTGGAGACTTAGCTGTTGATCGGGAGAAGAACTCCAACTCCCAGTCACGTCTTAAATCGGGCCAACAACTTGTTCAACAAACAGGCTGGCACTTTCCTGTAGGACCAGGTCTGACCCAAGAAGTGTTCTGCCCACAGTGGAGCTTCCCTGCTGCAAGTTATTACACCTCTATGGAGTCCAACTTCCCCTTTGAAGGTAGGTAAAATTTAGACTTTGTTCGCCCTATTGGGCCAACTTCTGTTAAAGTTGGTCAGACATGGTGCTTGGTTTCCAAGATCTTTTAAAAGACTAGACTTTAATGCTTCTAATTTGATGATATTGTTTTTTATGTGTTGTTGTTTTTTTGTACAAATACATTTGGTTTAACTTTAAGCACTGAAGATACGGTTCAAGGGCCAATCAAACATGGCTGACCTTTCGGGAAAGGCCAGTCTGGCCCTCATGGCTGTTATCCATGCAAACTAGAGTAATAATTTTCCAACAACCTATCCTATGTCTTTTTAAGGACGTTCTTAGGTGTCACAATTTCTGTGCTTGACAACGGTTATAAAAATAGTTTTACTAATATAACCTCTGTGCTGTATGAACTGCACCATAAAACAGTTATGTAACGTGTAAATGTCATCACTAAAGGCTGTCTTGCATGGGCAGAAGTCCTACAGTAGCACTTTTCTTGCACCAGATTTCCCCTTCCATGAGGTTAATCTAACAATAGACAGATATACCTGGTAAAATAGCTCGTTAAAACTATTGTGAATCAAATGCACAGTTGCTGGTTCAGTCCTAATTTGCTGCGTGTATAGAGAAGGTTTTTATAAATTTAATCTGAGGTATCTTAGGTTTTTATAAGACATTTCATAGTTTTTTTTTCACTCTATATATTGAAAAGCCTATAGAAGAAGCAACTTGTATAAGAAAATCTGTGTTTAATGTTTAATTACAAAAAAGTCACACGTTTTTTGTAGGGATGCACGATATTGGGATTTTGGCCGATATCCGATATGCCGATATTTTAAAACTCATGTAGCTGATAACCGATATCGATACCGATGTTAAAGCTGGACAAAAATAAGTAGTCATTGAAAATAGCAGTTTTGTTATCCATTTCTGACACTTTGAAAAATAATATACTCAAATATATTTTCATATGCTGATATCAAATAGATTTTTAAAAATGCGGTATCGATCTATTTTACTTTCAAAATCTCGTGAAATTTCATCGTTCTGTTACAAAGTCTCGTAATATTTTGCAAATTCTTGTGAGATTTTGTTAGTAAAATAGATCGATACCGCGTTAATATATCAACATATAAAAATATGTCAAAATTTCGTGAATTTTCGGTGGATTTCGTAGCATAACGATGACATATAGCAATATTTTATTAGTAAAAGAGATTGATGTGGTGTTTTTAAATGGCAATATATCAGCATATGAAGATATTGTGATATTTTAATGTATCAATATTTTTTCCCTCGTCTTTAGAAGTTTTTAATTCTATAAAAAAGAAGTTTTTGAGGAAGAAGAAGAAGTAGTATTTTTTATTTTTTTTTAGACTTTAGGAACTCAGAAGCTGATCAAATATCGGGTTAAATATCGGTGGGGTGGCCGATGTCTGATATTCAGTTTTAAGGCCGATACAGGCCGATACTGATAGGGGGCCGATTATATCGTGCATCCCTAGTTTTTTGTTTTTTTCATAGGATGGAATATTAGAAAATTCTAAAGTGATATTACTCAAGCAGTGAACAATAGTCATCAAAAGTAGTTATGAGAACAATTGATCCATTTATTATCAACCTATTGGTAATATAAACTTTAAGAAGAAGCAGACAGAAGTGGAGTGATGCATGTTTGTTTTGGAGACTTTAGATGCACGCAGATCTATTCAGATATTCATTTTTTTGGCTAATATTGGACGAATTCCCAATATCTATGTAGGATCAGGAAATCTCTAGTTGTGAGAGTGGAATCATTGGAAATATATTATTTTATCTCGTACCTTTACACTGGTGTTGAAAGGTTGCATTTAAATAGGATAGGTGTGGAGATATTCTTTTTTCAGTTGTGTGCTTTTAGTTGGGATTTGCTTCTTAAGGACTTAACGGGTTAAAGGTATTGTGGAGGAGTTTTTAAAAGACACGTCCTCTCCATTTAAAACAAATGCATGTGAAAGAGCATGCATGAGCACATTTCTCCTCATGTACGCCCTGTTTAAAATGTGCTCTTATAGTTCATACAAGCTTACCTTGTCCACCTACAGCGTGGAATATATCGTGGACTTTATAGAAAACTCAGTTAACTGAATGTTTGGACAGATGATCACTGCTCTTTGCACCGTTGGCCACGTAACTCCTCCTCCACTGCGTGGTGCCTGCTCCATCTTTGTTATTAGTTGCCAATGTCGAGTAGAGACAGCCTATGGCGACAGCCGGCTGCTGTGACAATAAGTTATAAGATATATCTGCCTCTTCTGAGGCCTTTCTTTTCTTCTCCTACACTTCGTAAACATATCACCAGAATGATTGACAATTAGGACGACCAATTATTTAGATGATCCACCTGGAAATAAAAGATCTTCCTCTATATTTCTTTAAGAACTTGAAGCTAAACTGTTTTAAAAAGAATTGAATAGTCTAAACTTGCCACAGGAGCAGATGCATCAAATAATAATGTCACCAAAGAGTGAACTTATTTTGATAGTTACACTGAGAAAGTGAAACTCTCATATTTAATATAAAAGCAACTGTAAACCGAAGATCTTCTATTCATTGCTTCTTCAGCATCAACCATTTTTGGTGTTTCCTTTATGTTTAGGCTATAAACAGCTTTTCTGCTGGACTACTGTCAAGCTGAAGGTGCTCCCTATGAGTGTGTAGCTCAATATATAATAGGATTTGATTGTTTCATGGGTGATTTGCAATTTTGGGTTTTAATTTCCTGTAAGATGAATAAAATAACCAGAACCAAATCCATCCATTCAGTCAGGGACACATTGGGGCCGGTGCCTGCCAATCTATAGAAGTCTATGGGTGAGAGGCGGAGTAAAGCCTGGACAGGTCACCATTCTGTCACAGGGCAACACAGAGACACATAACCATGCACACACACACACACATCCTAAGACAGTTTAGAGAAGCCGATTAACCTAAATTTTATGTTTTTTGGACTGTGGGAGGAAGCTAGAGTACCATGAAAAATCCACGCATGAAAAGGGAGAACATGCAGAATCAAACCAGCAACCTTCTTGCTGCAAGACAAGTGTTACAAACTGCACCAAAACTGAATCATTAAACATTATTTATTACAGATCTGTATAATATATGAGGTTCACTTTTTGAATGGAGTTGCTGAAATGAACATGATGCTAATCCAGTTTGAAGTACATCTGTAATGAGTTCAGTATCTGCTCTCCATGCAGTGATGTGGAGGGTGTGGGTGGATTTGGATGCTGCCTCTAAGGGTGGTCAGACCCCCACAATCAAAAAAGCCTCAGTGGACTTCACTGTCATGTCCTACAACATCCTATCCCAAGACCTTTTGGAGGAGAACCAACAGCTGTACGCACACTGCCCCCCAGAGGTGCTGCAGTGGAACTACCGCTGCAGCCTGCTTTTAAGTGAAATAGAAAAATGGGCGCCAGATGTAAGTCAGATGCATTTCTTTTTTTATATTTCTAATGTTGCACAACCACTAATCACTCCTGTGTGTCATTGTTGTCCTTTGTGTAGATTTTGTGTCTGCAGGAGGTTCAGGAGAACCACTACCATGAACATCTGTACCCTGTTCTTTCTCAGATGGGTAGGGCAGCTGAGAAAATGCAGAGGAGATGTAATTTTCTGCAAATGAGGTGACAAAAACATCCATCCTATTCTGCTTGTGTCTTCCCCAGGCTATACCTGTGTGTACCAGCGTCGCACGGGGACAAAGACCGATGGCTGTGCGGCGTGCTATCGGAGCGCAGTCTTCACCGAAGCCGGCGTCTCCAAGCTGGAGTTCTTTAGGCCTGAGACCGGGCTGTTGGACCGGCACAACGTAGGCATCGTTTTGCTCCTTCGGCCACTGGTCACCAGAGGAGCAGAGGTCAAGGAAGGTGGCCCACCCCTCTGCGTGGCCAACACACACCTGCTCTTCAACCCACGGCGAGGTGATATCAAGCTGGCCCAGTTAGCCATAATGCTGGCAGAAATTAACGCCATGATCAAGTCCTGTAAGGTCAGACGTGAACACTGCAACGTCGTCTTCTGTGGAGACTTTAACTCCATCCCATACACGCCTCTGTACCAGCTGCTCACCACTGGCGAGCTCTACTACCAGGGTATTCCCAAGTGGATGGTGAGGGAACAGAACTGAAGAATAACTGTCTGCATATTGAGCGGCAAACATCCTCCTGCTGTTATCCCAAAGATGCACGTTATGGTTTGCTAACCTTGTGTGTTTGCTCTGTTTAAAAGGTTTCAGGCCAAGAGGATCTGTCTTACAAGCCTAGTTATCACAGACTGTTTGCTCCTCTGTGGCCCAGCTCTCTGGGAATCTCAGACACCTGCCAGTACACTGAGATCAATACGTCCAAAACTAATCGTCAGAAGTCGGGTCAGTGGCTGAAGTCGCATAGTTTTGAAGTGGTGTTTTTGTTCTAATGAAGCAAATAGCAAGTTTATATTAGAATAAGTCTTTTTTCTTGTTTTGTTGTTTTAAATTTCAGGGACTCGCCAGTACAGCCATGAATTCATGCTGCAGCTACGCTTCTGTCCAGCCGCATGTGTTCGTCCTCAGAAGCTGATTCTGATTCCTGGAGTGACTGACATCACACCAGGTTGTGCACATATGAAGTACAAAGAAAACTCTCCTTGCTAACAGGTGGACCTGTACAAATCTAATATAAAACTACTTCAAAAGTGCTCATTGAATATGTAAAACCAAACAAAACAAAACAACATTTTGATTAAAGTTCCTAGAATTTCTTTTCTGAAGGTTTTTGAAAACTGAATATTTCATTACCAATCCAATGAATGATGGGGATGATATACCGAGCTAAACAGAAGTGTTCTCAGTGTGTTTTTTACAACCATAAACTTTATTTTAGTGAACAAAACCATAAAAGATTTCTTTCGATAAATATGAAAAATGTGGCATTTATGTTGAATTCAGACCCATTTTCTCTGATACCCTTATGCAAAATTAAGTGTAACCAACTACAGGTAGCAGTCTGCTAATTCAGGGTTTCTTAACCCTGTTCCTCAGGGCCCTTTTCCACCCATGTTTGAGATGCTTCTCTTTTTAATCATATCTAAATAAAATTTCAGCTGTTCTATGAATGCCTCAGAGGTTTTTATAGAAACATTCTTCAGAGGATTAGAAAAGAGTTGGAATACAAAACAATCTATGATCTGGAAATTAAGAGTTTAGCTAAACTGAAAACCTACCAGAGCTTGACCATCCATCTTAATTGGTGGATAAGAAGGGTAATAATCAGCTGAGATCAATCGTAGCTGGGGGTTCTGTAGAGAGCCACAGGTCTGGGGGTGAAGTCTGTCGACGTGACAGCTGTGGGTTTGCAATTTCTTAAACCTGGCCTTCTGTAGAAAGTGGCAAGAAAATGTTTTTATTTAAAGAAAACCACAAGTTCTGTTTGCAATTTGCAACAAGCCAAGATGGACAACAGATACAGGTGCTGGTCATAAAATTAGAATATCATGAAAAAGTAGATTGATTTCAGTAATTCCATTTAAAAAGTGAAACTTGTATATTATATTCATACATTACATACAAACTCATATATTTCAGATGTTTATTTTGTTTAATTTTGATGATTACAAATGACAACAAATGAAAATCTCAAATTCATCATATCAGAAAATTAGAATATTACTGAAGACCAATAAAAACAAAGGATTTATAGAAATGTTGGCCAACTGAAAAGTATGAACATGAAAAGTATGAGCATGTACAGCACTCAGTATTTAGTTGGGCCTCCTTTGGCCTGTATTACTGCAGCAATGCGGCGTGGCATGGAGTCGATCAGTCTGTGGCACTGCTCAGGTGTTATGATAGCCCAGGTTGCTCTAATAGTGGCTTTTAGCTCTTCTGAATTGTTGGGTCTGGTGTATTGCATCTTCTTCTTCACAATACCCCATAGATTTTCTATGGGGTTAAGGTCAGGAGAGTTTGCTGGCCAATTAAGAACAGGGATACCATGGTCCTTCAACCAGGTACTGGTAGCTTTGGCACTGTGTGCAGGTGCCAAGTCCTGTTGGAAAATGAAATCTGCATCTCCAAAAAGTTGGTCAGCTGCAGGAAGCATGAAGTGCTCTAAAACTTCCTGGTATGTGGCTGCGTTGACCCTGGACCTCAGAAAACACAATGGACCAACACCAGCAGATGACATGGCACCCCAAACCATCACTGACTGTGGAAACTTTACACTGGACTTCAAGCAACGTGGATGAAGTGCCTCTCTTCTTTTCCTCCAGACTCTGGGACCTTGATTTCCAAAGGAAATGCAAAATTTACTTTCATCAGAGAACATGACTTTGGACCACTCACCAGCAGTCCAGTCCTGTTTCTCTTTAGCCCAGGCAAGACGCTTCTGACGCTGTCTGTGGTTCAAGAGTGGCTTGACACAAGGAATGCGACAGCAGAAACCCATGTCTTTCATACGTCTGTGTGTGGTGGTTCTTGAAGCACTCACTCCAGCTGCAGTCCACTCTTTGTGAATCTCCCCCACATTTTTGAATGGGTTTTGTTTCACAATCCTCTCCAGGGTGCGGTTATCTCTCTTGCTTGTACACTTTTTTCGACCACATCTTTTCCTTCCCTTCGCCTCTCTATTAATGTGCTTGGACACTGAGCTCTGTGAACAGCCAGCCTCTTTAGCGATGACCTTTTGTGTCTTGCCCTCCTTGTGCAAGGTGTCGATGGTCGTCTTTTGGACAACTGTCAAGTCAGCAGTCTTCCCCATGATTGTGTAGCCTATAGAACTAGACTGAAAGACCATTTAAAGGCTTTTGCAGGTGGTATGAGTTAATTAGCTGATTAGAGTGTGGCACCAGGGGCCATCAATTTTGAACCTTTTCACAATATTCTAATTTTCTGATATGATGAATTTGAGATTTTCATTTGTTGTCATTTGTAATCATCAAAATTAAACAAAATAAACATCTGAAATAAATGAGTTTGTATGTAATGTATGAATATAATATACAAGTTTCACTTTTTAAATGGAATTACTGAAATCAATCTACTTTTTCATGATATTCTAATTTTATGACCAGCACCTGTACATGGAAGGAGCTGCTCTGGTCAGATGAGAAGGAAACTCATCTTTTTTCCCAGAGTGCTTCGTAAGTAACCTAACATGCACATGACCCTGAACACACCATCTACATGGTGATGGCAGCATCAACATGCTAGTGGGATGTTTTTCTTCCTTTTTAACAGACAAAAAACATTTGGAGGCTGCAAATTGTCTTGATTAGATCAAAGTGTTTTTCAACCTAAATCATAGAACCAGTTGGAAGACTTAAAAACCCAAATCCACAGATGTTATCAAACATATATTTGATTCTTTTGCAAAGAAGAATGGAATGAAGTAGAAACCTACTCCCTAAGACATGATTTCAGTAGAAATAATTTCAGTAGAATACTTCAAGGCGTATGAATACACCTTTAGATGTGTGGACGCTGCTGTAAGTGTATAACTCCGATACACAACTCTATTGTTAGATTTAAGCATCTATTCACTGTAAGATTAGTTTTAAGGCATAATGCACACTGCTCTATACTGTCACCTAGTGGCCATTCTATAAAAAAGTCTGCCTGCATTTAGATAAAGGTTCTGCAGAAAGAACCTGCAGGAGCCTTAAAATATCAAGAGCCATCCAGACCCTTGTTAATGCAGCAGTTACTATAGGCAAAGAAACAATAGGTAATTTCATTTCTTTCTCCAATCAGAGGTAATGGTAAAAGGAGGTTTTTCTTCCAGACTGATATGTTCATTTTATTTGTTTGTAATAAACTGACATCAGTATAATGCTTATAATGTTGCATGATTTTAATATTTTTATTCATATCTTTTTTATTTGTCTTGTATTTCATACTTTATTATCTTGTTGGTCTGAACCTGAGTCAGTTAATAGACCCTAGTTGATTGATGTAGTAGTTAGCTTAATAAGGAGCATTTTACCTTCTGTCCTTCACTTTTAACATTTTTATCTTCTCTTTGAGCTCAGATACCACACAGGACGTTCAACACTATGAGAAAAGGTCAGTTCATTAAAAGTACTTCCATATCAAGTACAATAAATGTTTTTTACCACTAGGGCTGGGTATTAAAGTCCGGAATCGATTCGGTTTTGATTCATACAGTTCTAAATCGATTAATTTCAATTCGACCTGTTTTTACAACAATGAAAGTGGTTCAACTGTGTTTCAAAATACTAATGTATTTAAATTTTTCCTGTCACATTAAACGCAAAGTGCAAACTTGTAAATCAGACAGTTTAAGCTTGAGAAGTGAACAAAACTGTCTCATAAGTGTAAAGTTGTTTGTGAAAAGTAAAAAAGTGAAGCCTGACTCGAGCAAGCGGACGTGACACAGCGGGGACACAGCAGACATGCATGACCTGCATTATCTGCATTGCACAAACCATATTTGCAGCGTTCTCTGTAACAACCACTGGGTGTTTGCTGGTCAGCCTCCATGTCTTCAGTCAACCTATTGGCTATATTTGCAGCTGTCTGTCTTGAAGTAATCTTGAGTGCATCTTTCCTGCTCAATTGAACGGCACGCGCGTCACTATAAAACTAATTGATCTCATTCCCTAAACATCGATTTAGCAAAAATGTAAAAGGAATCGATTCAAAATCGATTAAATTGATTTTTTTTACTCAGCCCTATTTACCACCATGTTATATTGCACATAATAACATGATCAGCTTACAAGACAGGATATTTGAATAACAAAGATTGATCCTGAATGTGTCACAGGTTCAAAGACTATCTGATGCATCAGGTGGACCTGGAGTCTGTCTATGAACATGTCCTTCCTGGTTCTGGCAGTCCAGAACTCACAACCCTGCATTCTGAGGGTGGAGCTACCGTCGACTACATCTTCTACTCTCCAAAACGCACCTCTACCAAAAATCAAATGGGTAAAAGGATTGGATTTAAAGAACAAGAGTATGAGTTCTGAATTCCTAAAGAGCTACTTAATTTTTTAACATTTTCTTTTTCTAATGTTTCTCCTAGCTTGTAAAAAGATATCAGAGAAAGGTCTGAAGCTCCTTGGTTACCTCTCTCTCCTGTCTGAGGACCTCTTGTGGTCGATGAACGGACTTCCCAACCACATATTCCCTTCCGATCATCTAAGTCTGGTCGCCCGTTTCCAGATGGAACTTGATAATTAATGAAAGACCATGTTTTGTTTATAAGTTTTATAAATGTTCTGTTCGCGAGTGTAGAAACACTGTCATTGTTTTCATAAAAAATAATTGTACTCCTTTTTTATTGTTTTGTATAAATATTTTTGCACTGAATCAGAACGCTATAAAGTTTAAATAATTATTTTTTGTGTACGGCTTATGATTCAGCTCATCTTGAACAGACCTACTGCTGTTCCTGCCTACAGTCTGTCTGGATGATTAGATCATGTGCAGCTGATTTCTGCATGGCTGTGCAGAGGGATGATACTAGGGCTATTCATGAAGATTTTTATTTTTTAGCTTTATCATTTTGTTTTGGATAATTTTTCTGTTTGGAAAACCTGAAAAAACTGTCTTATAGACAGTCATCAATTTAAATTACGTTGGAAAATTCAAGTTGCATAAAAGATAAACAGGAAAATCCTTTTTTAAAGGGCAAAAAAAAATCAAATTAGAATATGTATGTTAATGTATTTAAGCTTCAAATGACTAGTTAAACATGGTTTCTTTCACATTGATTGCATGCAGTTAAAGCATCATTACTCAGCATTTTAAAGAGATTTATCCTGTTTAGTAAATAGTTTTGTTTACCCCCCTCACTGCTGCATAAGGCAACAAAGCAGTTTTACACTGCAGCTGCCTTCAAGTGCAGGACCTTAAAAAAACCACTGCCTAAATACAAAGTTCTAACTGTCTGAGCAAGGGAACACTAGAAATAATATGCTAACCTAAAATTTCATCACATGACTCATGGCACAGACTTACATTTGAAAGACCAGAGCTTCTTTAGGGATGTCTTTTCTTTTTTTTTGTAAAGGACTGCAGGTTTAATTAGTACTTACTTAGAAAATAGGCCGGGTTGAGCATAAACCCAACAGCTTAGGAAAAATAATGCCATACATACTGTGAAGTACAGTGGAGGAAGTGTCATGGTTTGGGAATGCTTTGATAGGTTTTAGACAATTCCTAACATCTTTATCTCAGGTCACACCTCCTTAAAACAACATATTCTAATTACGAAAGAGCTGGTGATAAATAATGTATAAAAGTGATTGAAAGAGCACCCAATAAAATATACAAATATAAAGCATAACATGACAATTGAATGGCTAAATAAAAGATTGAAAGCTGATAATTATATACATATATACACAGATGAAATTAGTTTTATGATGAAAAAACAAATCCTTGATTTTTAGCTTTCCTTTTATAGAGCTATCACCATTATGTTTCCTTCCCATACACTTCAAATGATTTGTGTTTAATGTTCAAGCGTTCATATTTTTGGTGTTGCCCTTTAGCTCAGAGCTTGTATTTCAAATAAAATCCCTGTCAATGACACACTTTCCCTATCTGAGATCAGGGAAACTTCATTGATCTCAGCTGAGAAACCTATATGGAAATAAGAAATTGTACAAAAAAGAAGTGATGTGACTCTTTATTGTGATCCTCAATCTTTGACACAGTGTAACTGCATTACAGAACATTAAAGAGAGAGTTAATACTTAGTAAGCATGTTGCTAGTGGCAACATTTAAAAGAGCATGATTGGTGTACTGCTAAGAAACACAGTGGGTACCATAAAATTACCCAGTTTCCAGTGAATGTACAAAAACCAAGACAAAAGTGCTGTTAAAAAAATGTTTATACCTATCAAAACCACTTAAGGCAAAGGAAAGATGCTACAATTAAAATGCAGGAATAAAAAAGCTGTGTACTAAACATACAGTTCTGGTCAGAACTTTAAATGATATGAGGGATTCATCATTTCCGACTTTTGAGATAATTCTGACCCGATATTTGACCAATTTGGTTTTCTGGTGGACACCCACACTGCAGGCATAGTTCAGTTGTTCTTTAAAAGGCTAAGATTGACCCTTAGGAAGATATTCCCCCAAGCTCTATCCACCAAGAACCAGTTTTGACCTGCGATTGGATTATTACCCTGTTAAAATAACCAACTCTACCCAGGGTTTAACCATCTGACCTTGAACTCACAATAAGTCCTAAAGCTTTATGGTCACAGAGATAAAGACTAAGCTATTATGCAGCTATTTGCTTTTTTGAAATGGTTTCAAATGTAACTTGACTGGTTTTGGAATGGTTGGAGCTTTGGCAGTGGTTGCAATCTACTAGTTGTGTTGTTTTGCCTGCTCCCATAACAAGCGGTTACCTCAAAATGCATAAAAGAATGGCAACAAATTTTACAACGAGCGTCCCTCTTCACACAACCAGGATTAAAATTCGGATCACGCTCATTACAAAGACAAACCCCTTCAGTAACTAAACCCTACGGTATTAAATGTTTGATGACCAATATGTAAATTAGTAGGAATTTCAACCAATTTCGATAAAATGTGTATGTTTTGACCGGAGCTGTATGGTGAATAGAGCTCTAATCATTGACATCAATACAAAAATTATTTTGAAGTGCTTAAATATAAATTTGATTTATAACTTTTTCAATTCCTTTATAGGTCCATGCTCTTAAAATCAACTCTGTGGGAGTTAAAGCAGCACGATATCGGTGAGCAAACCGTGGCTAATGAATAGCTTCTAAAACTGAGGAAACATGCTCTTTTTTTATGTACAAGTGAAAAGGCATTTTGAACCAGCTGTGCAGTCAAGCTTGGTTACTGTGAGTTTAAAAATAAATGAAACTGCAGTAATTTAAAGGCATTGCAATGGAAGCCTGGATTAAAATCTCATCAATATGCTGTGACATATGCTGTGAAAAACCTGGACCTGATCACAGATTTAATCTGAGCTTCTGAGTTAGGATCGCTGTTCAGTCTTGTAACCAGGTCTGCAGCAGTCTACATGAGATACTGACCTACAGGAGCACTGATGTTAAAGACATTATCTCAGTATTTTTATTTTTTAGGCGTAAGAAATGTATTGACAAAGATTTATTGATGTTTGAGTAGTTTGTTCACATTTACCTGACAATGCTAAAAAAAAACATTATTTAACAGTATTTAACATTGTTTTCCATAAACAAAAGATTTTAGGATCCTTCAACATATTTTCTCCATTGAAATGTTAATCAAGGCACAAGGGCAGCAGTATAAAGAAGTTACTACACATGTTACTATTGTCTAGTAGAGTCTAGGTGGATTATATTACACAATCTGACTTAAAGTTACAGTACAGTGATGCAGATTGTAGAAAAGCCTAACAGCATAGAGGTGTGATATGCAAATTGCATTGAACTATATGTATGCAAACATTATATTGGGTTTAGGTAGTAAAACTGTACTTGCTTATTTTATTGGAAATAAAAACAAACATTTACTCCCACTTTTCATAAACTGGGAGTTTTGCCAGCACCAAATACTGCAACTGTTACAGGAATAAAAAGGCTGTAACAAAATAAGTAGAGCTGAATGAGGCGTTTGTTTTCGGAAGAACATTTGCTGGTGACCTATTCCAGGATAAAAAATAAAACAGGCCAATGTCTACTTAGAGGAAGTGACGCGGTCGATCCATCATGCAGCAGCGCCTTTCTTCAGACTCTAATCTGGTATCCATTAATATCAGTTGGTTTTTGCTCCAGAACCTTCTTTTCTCCAGAGGGGCTGAAACAAAAAGAAAAGAATAAATAAAAAAAAATTAAAAAGCTAACATATTTTTTTTATATTTAATAGAGAGCTGGGACTAATTCTCTTGTTGGAGTCTAGGAGAAATTAATTTTCATTGAGTGGAAATGTGCAATTACTGGTTAAAATACCAGGTTTTTAATTAAATAACGAATTATAATAAGATAAATCTTTTCAGGATGTTTTAGACTTAATGTCACCAACAACCTGAGCAAATAGATTAATGCATCAAATGAAATCTTATGGGGGAAAAAACAAAAAACAAAAATTGAAATATTGTGGTTGCATAAGTGCGGACCCTTAAACTAATACTTTGAATCTTTCTACAGGCATCTTTCAATTTCATTATAGCATTCAGCCTTTTGGGTTAAAGCCCAACATTGCAGTTTTTCACTGGGCAATAGTTGCAGATTATTTTTTGCAAAAAAGGAGCAAATCTATCAGATCACAAGAAAATCTCCACTTCTATCTATATCACTCTACTGGCTTAAACACTATCAAAACATTAATCTTCTTCTGATTAAACATTTCTTTTTTTCATTAGGAGAAATATTTTTGATCCTTAAGCATGATGCTGCCACTGCCATGCTTCACTTTGAAGGTTCCCTTTGAATTATAGTCGAAAGTATCGCAAAATTAACATGTCTTTTGTTTTTTACCTTTGTTAGAAAAAAACATCCATTTAAATATCCTCAAAAGACCGATCATATGAAGAATATGGGAAATTTTCCCACGGCTTCTTTAATCTAAACATTTGGCTTCTTTTCATCTTATTAATTTTTAAAGGATGCGCAGTTATTAAAAATGTTGTCCTACATTTTCTCAAGTGATTTATTCTGCTGCTACATGCCCCTAGTTACCCAAATGCGTTAAATTATTTTTTTTATCTTCTACAGACCTTTTTAGAGAGAAATCAAGGAAAAGCCTACAATAACTGGTGTGTGTTAATCTGAATGTAGAAGTAATTCTGCATAAGGGTCAAATCCTTAGTTGAAAGGGGGCATGAACACTTATGTAACCACATTTTATTTTACTTTTTCCCATCAAAAAAATTTTTTTTTCATTTGAGTTGTACAATTTTGAAGTTTTCAATTTTTATCCGAGCGTACAGGTTTCTACCGTTCAGTCAGTGATAGTCATGCCTGTAGTTTTTCTATGGAACTTATCATTAGGAGAATCCTATCAATCCTACCGTCTCTCAACTCGACTGATCCTTCGAATGGGGCTGCCTGGTCCTTTGAGAGGAGAGCCCATGCTGTTTCTCCTGTCCTTAGTAGGAGAGGGAGGTGCTGGCTTCCCAATCTGCAAAAATAAACGAATAATTTCTTTTAAATTACATTTGGAACATTACAGTCCACATTCCGTCTGTTCTCCGTTCCTCTGTTCTGCTTGTAGCACTAATCTGTTCATGCTTTCAAAGAGATTGTGCCAAGCACTCAGCAGAAAGCCCTCT